TCGATTATAGGCATTTCGAATAAAGAAGCAGCTTTTTTCAGTAAGTTCATGCTGCAGTAGGCTTGTTGCAGCGCATTTCTGCTATATTTCGCCTTTTCAGCTATAAAAGCCCGCGCAANCTCGAATATTCAAGATTTCATGGCTACGCAAACTTTGGACTTGACTGTATCAAGTGGGGACCCGTGATTGACGGCGAGTTCCTACAAGACCCGGACGAGATGGCTACCACTGCACCCCCGAAAGCTTCGATTATAGGCATTTCGAATAAAGAAGCAGCTTTTTTTAGTAGGTTCACGCTGCAGTAGGCTTGATCGCAGCGCATTTCTGCTATATTTCGCCTTTTCAGCTATAAAAGCCCGCGCAAACACGATCCTTAGTAATCTCGGAATCAGTCATGATGATTTCCTGCTATGGAACAGAGACAAGCTGATAGCGACTATTAAGGTAATGTGACTTGTTCTATACAGTCGTTCTTTTGCTTTTGCTTTTCTTGAATTTCACAAAATGGGAGCCCAATTAGGTGCAGAAGGGTTCCTGGTGGCGATGCTCACCGCATGTTCAGAAAGTCATTGGGTGATGGGGTCGGAAGGTTCATTTTACCGTATAGGTGTGACTCTCTATTGCCTTCTACATATTTCTAATAAAATCTCGAGCCTCTGCGTTGGTTTAGTGAATGGAATATTACTTTCTGATCTCATATATGATCGTGTAATAAATTATTCGATGGTGATCCAAACAGGCTAACATAAGCTGGCGGAAGATCTGGGCACATTAACCACATTTATAGGATTTCATTCGACACGAATTTTTCGAGAGTAATACGGATGAGGTGATTGACAAAGTCATTGCTTATTATGTCGATAGAGATGAGGAGGACTCGTATGATTTCTATCTTGACAGATACACAGAGGTGGGCGACATCATTCATTTCAAGTTTTGCAGTTTATACCTCGCAAAAGTCCCTCCATTCCCACCTACGAGATGATTTCAGTTTATCAGCGATGTCATGTTCAATGTGCCTGCCGTAGATGGCATCCTATCACGTCGCGATAAAGGATGGGAACTTTTTGCTTATTCCTTCAATCACTACAACAAAGCAATTTGGCCTGACGACTTACCGAAGAGGTTAAAAGGTTCGATTCTTTAAGGAGCTATGTTTAACTTAAAAATTGCCTACTATAAGTAACCTCTGGGAGTCGTGCTCCGACTACAACACCCTTTTCTTGAATTCATTTTTCTTAGTGAAAAGAATCGGCGACTAGATTTTTCATTAAGGATCTACGCATGTCAACGAGTACCCCTATATGTTCGACATCTTCGCAATGGGCGAGTTCGAAATCGATGAAACCGAGCAGATTGTGGCCGACGTTGTTCAGCAATCGTTCATAAATTTCGTCAAAACAGGGTGAGTCGATATAAAAGTGGCACGGGTCGGAAACGATGGTCTCAATGGTTGAGGTGCTTCAGCTCAGATGAGAAAGGGTTTGTCTTCTACCTCTAGGACCGTGTATTTCGTGCAGACCGTAATCTTCGTCACTTGGGAATAGACGGACGATTTAGACTTAATTTTTCTTTCTTTTGGTTTATGACTAAATCTTGCAAGTTCAGTTGATGCCCAACTTTTGGCCTATTTGTTGCTTTACTTGTTCTGGCTCCTTTTATATTTGTTTGCTATGTTAACTTTCTTTCATTCCCTACTTTTCTCTTGTCCTGCTTACAAAGAGGCATTAGTTCTACTTCTACGCCATGTAAGAAAGCCGTAAGAAGCGTTTCCGAAAGTACTCATGAACCCACAATGGGAACAATGGCATCTTTATTTATTTATTTATTTATTTATTTATTTATTTATTTACGCATTCATTCATTCAGATAGACCATTACAGGGTTCCATTGAACCAGTACGGGCCATGGCAAGACGTTGGGGCATCAACGGATCTTAGTTATTTGGCCATCTCACCAAAACCTCAAATGGAACAGGGTTTCTATAATGGTATGTGTACAACTGATCCTGCCCCTAATTATGCCTCTACCTCCTGAAAATATTTCTTTACTAGAGCCAACAGCCTTCTGGCACGAACTACGGAAATACGGTTACGATCTCATAAAGCAGGCTTCGACAGGAAGAGTCGATAGGATAATGAAAAACGAGCTGTAGGACGACTCAACGAAGAAATCTAACTGCCACTGGAATACCAGCCATTTTCATTGAAGTGTGTTTATAGTTAATAATAAAATAAACATGACAGGAGTCTGAGTTTATTCCCTCTATTCTCTAATTAGACAGATTTGGTACAGTGTGAAATGCAGAAATCCTCATTATTACACACCTATGACACCTACTATGAATAAGCCACTCGGAGTGGCTTTTCCAGACTTCTGACAGAGTTTTATGACCAATCCATCTCTGGATCACTTTACAATTATCAAAAGTCATGATATTAACGTGATTGGAGATCAGTCAGAGTCCGGCAGTCATATTCGAGTGCTCGACAACATTCCACAAAAACAAAATTTTGGAAGCAGGAGCAGTTCGTTGGATAAAACATACTCCTCAAGTAGTGATCCAGCCTGCGTAGTGAAAAAAGTATAGATTGAAATGAGTCCGTGACGTGGGGTATGGCGAAAGTGATCAAGGGACTGGAAGGAAAAGGTGATTATGGGCTCGAGAATATCTGGGATCGCGAAAAAGGAGATCGGGAACGAAAAAGGGGCTAAAGGGGCAAAAGGGACGCCAGGGATGGTCCCACAGGTTTTGCAACGCCAAAGAGCGCTGGCCTTTTCGAAAAGGAAGGGGCTGAGAAAGAGGATGCCGGACGAGTCCAGAACGAGGGACACGTTCACCAAAACACGTTCACATCACCGTCTTCTTGTGATGGTAGGGTCTACAAAAATGACTACCAATGCATAAAAAACATCTGGATTGTGTCGTCGTCTACACGGACGGCCCCATAACAATATATGGTCGTCTCACCGTCTCAGATAACTCGCTAACTTAGTCCACGCACCTAAATGACGCGGGTCAAGCTACCACAAAAAAGCGTGATCCCCACTTCTTTCTCTGACAGCGTCACGAGCAAGACGTAGGTTACCTGTCGTATAAAGTATTACTTGTCATTAATGTCTGATTATGGCGGTCTTACTAGACTACTGTGTAACATTTACTCCATCATCACCGGAGCTGCAATAAAACCACTGAACCATCCACATAACAGTCAACATATTTCCTTTCCAATGCAACTGTATTCAATATGCAAATTCTCTCCGGAATGGGACTATGAACAAAGGCAAGGTTGGGGGTGAGGTAAGTAGATGTTATAATTTTCGTTACTGTTTCTTATAAAAGAACAAGCCAACGCTTCTATATATTCAGTCCCGTAATCGCAGTTTAGATCTTTCAGGCAACACTGTGATCTAACTTGAGCTGCCGACGTCCTCGTCAATGTTTTTACCCC